TGTCAGTTCTGGGCTCCTGCAGCCCAGCTATAAGCTATTGAAGTGCGATCTGCACTTCAATAGCTTATTTCCAGTGTAAAGGTGACACTGAGGGTCTTTTGGACCCCCAGCATCACCTTAAAGAGGACCTGTCACCACCATCTGCTATTACATGGGGGGGCTTGCAAGCCCCCCCATGTGATAGCAGTCAAAGTAAAGTAAAAAAAAAAAAAAAAACAGTTTTTAAAATTAAAATGAAATAAAATAAATCTAATAATAAAAAAAAAAAATTTAAAAGTACCCCGCCCCCGCGAGCACGCGCGTCGCCACGTAAACACGCGTCGGGTGCGCCTATGTATGAAAACGACGAACGCGCTACACATGTTGGGTATCGCCGCGCACGCCGGAGTGAGAGCAATAATTCTAGGGCCAGTATTTTGGGGTATCTCTAAATTGATGACCTGTGGGGGCTTTTAAAGCGTCTTCTATTGACTTTTTGGGGTACTGCAGTTTTTCGCCGTTTCACGGACGCACACAATTTGTAACCTATGCATGTTGGGTATCGTTTTACTCGTTGTAACCTCATCTTTTATATGTCATTTAAAAAATTGGTATTTTGTTCTGTTTTGGGGCATTAAATTAAATTTTTCACTAAATGTTGGGGTTTAATAAGGAGTTGCGCTAATATTGCGCAACATAAAAATTTTCAACTACCACCATTTTATTCTATAGGGTCTTGGCATTCAGAAAATATATAATGTTGGGGGGTTTTATGTCATTTTCAGGCCTAAAATGTGGAATATAACATGGGTGCAAAAAATGAAAAAAGGGCCTCAGTCATGAAGGGGTTAAAAGGGGCTTTTACATGCATTCCAGACCTGAGAAAATGAGACGCACTTTTTTTTTTGTCTGGACCGGTACGGACTGCGCTGGTGTGAACATAGCCCAGAAATCCCATTGGGATGCGTCTTTTGGTCCGGGAACAAACTGTTCTGATTTGGACATGGCGTGAACAAGCCCTTATTACTGAATTGTGTACTCTTGCAGTTAACTTATTTGCTGTGCAGAACAATTTAATATTTACTTTGTAAAATATTTAGAGGGGGGGGGGGGGGTATTTAAAACTGGAACAGTGTCTTGAAAGTTGCCCATAGTAACCAATCGGCTTCTCTTCAGTTTGTTTAGTTGAGCTTTGAAAGTGAAAGATGAAGCTGATTGGTTGCCATGGATTTTGTCTGCCTAAAGTTTTAATAGTAAGCAAAAACGTAACTGATGCTTGAACAGTATTTTGGAAATGATGCAATGAGATGTTGAAAAGTGTATGTCCATCCAAAATGGAATAGAAACTAGGGATGTCCCGATAGCATTTTCATTCATTCATTCAAGTACAAGTACTTTCTCTCAGCTACTTGCTGATACCAATTACTGATCATTTTTCTTAAAGGGGCATGTGACATTTTTTTTCTAAAACAATCCAGACTAATGATTTTAGGGCAGTTTTTTGTTTTTTAAAAATAATTTATGAAGAACTGTTAGACCATGATTATTTAGCAATGGAGAATGACTTCCAGCATTCATGGCTTGCTGAGATTTGTCCTCTAAAGCCGATTGCCATTCTCTATTGCTGTATAATCATTGATCCCATCAATCCATGTTTTATACAGGGCTATATGCGGGTCTCGCCAAGGCTGCATGCTGGGCGGTGCGGGTGGGTCTTGGTTGTCAGGGCTGTATGGTTGGTGTTGGGGGGCTGACCTTTGCTGTACCTGTCTCTGAGGGCACCGGAAAGGAGGAGATGTGGGGCCGGACAGGCACTGTTAAAGACAGCTGCCTGAGGTTCCCAGCAAGCACAGGAACTCAGGCAGCCGAACGTCTTTAAAAATGTAAAGGGGCCAGTATCAGCCTTTTGGTATCAGGGCATTTTTTTTCACGAGTACAAGTACTCAATAAAATGCCCTTTATTGCCATCGGAACATCACTAATAGAAACCCTTTTCAGGTTTTTACTGCCAGGGCTCACTTAGAGAGGCTTGCCTTCACTTCCTCTCCTAGTGACATTTTACGAGACAGGAAGTGGGGCAACTCTGGAACACAGAGTGAAAAAGCAATACTTTTCTTTAGTACAGTGTGGGATGGCGAGAACCCCAGTCAGAGTTGTATTGCCGTCTGTGTCCTTGTTGAAGATTTTCCTGTCTGGGAAAATCACAAGGAAGAGGAACATATCTCTAACAGAGTCTGGATATCAGCAAAGACCTGATGGGAGTTCTTGTTCTTCCCCATTCTGTCCAAAATTAAAAAAAGTTTTGGCATGCATTACACTTTAAAGCCTCCAGCACACAGGCATGTGGGGATTCCTGCGGCAAGAACCCCAGGTGGGTCAGTACAGATGCGGCCAATGTGCCCAATCCCATTATTGACACGCATTTGTCAACATGCAATAGTACATGGAACAATTGTTCCTGGACACAATCTCTCTGCATCCCAGGACAAGTATCTCTCCCAATCTGCTGGTAATCGTACCATATGAGATTACCTGCAGACAGCCACGGACAGATGCAGCCACATTACCCTGTCAACCTGAATGGGCACAGCGACCGTATCTGTACAGACCCACCTGTTCCTGATGCAACAATCTTTAGGTTCTTACCGCAGCCATCCCCAGACACCCATGTACACGTAGCCTAATGAGAAAGCATAGCGTAGCTTTAATGTGCACATATTGTGGTGTTGCCATGTTTACCTTAATCTGATAAAGTTGTTTGTTTTTGTGTGGTCTTCTTCTTTTTTTTTTTTTTTTTTTTTTTTTTTTTTAGAGGGTTTTAGT